ATTAAATTTATATTTTAATAATTAAAAATAATTTTAAAAATTAATATTATATTTTCAGTAAAATATTTGTAAACCAAACGTTACAATATTATTTTTTTATATTTTAATTATTATTTTACTTATATATAAAATATTATAATATTATTTTTTTAATAATATTAATTATAATCATATTATCTATAATCATATTTATTCGTAATTAAAAAAAAATATTCTTCCTCCTGTACTTCTATTCCTTTACCAATAGCTAGAATCCAACATGTCGGAAGGAGACAATGGCACTCTCTTCTCCGTGAAAAGCGCTACACCTTGGTTCGTGATAGGTGCCCCACTCCACTCGTCCTCCATGCTTGCGGTTTACAGGAGAAAAAGAAAAGTTGGCTTTTTTTTTTTTCCAGGAAAAAGTCGGGTACCACCCTTTGTTGACCTGCTAAAGCTGGCATGCGCAAAAATAACGGTAGTGATTAAGCTAATTTGATTGAGACGGCAAGTTAAGGCTACAATCATTCTCCATGGATGCTAAAATTATGGTAAGAACAAGGGAAATCTTCCTTCGGAAATTTTTCATTGGTAAAATTGCTTTCATTAAGGCGGAGCCAAAGTGAAATTTGTCTGTAGCAAGTAATTTGCAAAGTCAAAATATAAAGCCATTACTAGATATCACCTTAGAAATTTCCCCAGTTTCCAGCTTGCTTAGGACCGCCTGCACCCAATGTGTTTGATAATAGAGTTATATAGACCAAAAAACAAGAGCCACCAATATTGCCAACATCCCAGAGATATCGAAGGTTTAGCTTTCTTCACCTTAACTTGATCCGTGTGCTCAACTGCTACTTCACAAATTTGACGCCGTGACTGTAGGTTGCATGATACTTCTGCAATAATAATGAAATACAGTGTCCCTAGGGATCCACTCTTCTTTAATTCCAAGCCAGCCAGGTCCACATTTGAATAGCTTGGCATTCAATTACACAGTATTGGCTTCTCCATCCGACTGCACTACTATCAGTCTGATGGATAACATTAGCCAAAGTAATTGATAAATGGCCCAATCTAGCCTAGTGCTGCCAACTAGCAGCCCTTTGAGGGAAACCACACCATGGTGGTCCTCCCCGATTACCAGGCTAACCATTCTGCTAACACCTCTCAAAAGTAAAATTCTGAGATCTAATGCACCAACCCAGAATAATAGCTTGATTCAATTCTACATATAACATCTATTTCCAAGCCAGAGAGAAGTCAGAGCTTTATATGGTTTTATATAGCACCCACTATAGTAGGATAGTACTCCGATGTCTACTTCCTTGCAAGCTTGCAGCTAGCCTGCAAAAATGAGGATACAGAACAATACACCAACTGCAATATCAACAAACAAAAGAAGATCGATACTCCCGTATAGCATCACATAATTTAGAAGCACTCTATCATCAGAGAAAGTAAAGGCTTCTATCTTCACAACCAAAACTTCCCAAAAATTGCCATTGCGCTAGAACAATAGTGATTCCTGTTACAACTGGAACATAAAACCGGCATTAATGACACATCAAACTTCCATCCCCTATTTTTCATTACTCTTATCATCCAAATCAAAGATAGAAGCG